CAATGCCTTTGTAGCGTTTTCCCTCATCGTATTATAATATACGTAACCAGGTGAATGAATATTGATTTTTCTAAAAGTTAGTTATACCCTCAGCGAGTTCATCCCTTAAGAACGCTTGCTATCACAGCAATTCAAATGTCTACTGCTTTATATATACTAATATATACCCATATAAATATATACCTATGGCCAAAAAGACAGTGGTAGATGATAATTGTATCGTAAAAACTACGTTCTCTAAATAGATAGGTAAATAATTCTTTACTGCACTCACCAAAATATAATGTACATAGAGACATGAGAGAAAAAATAAAATACAAAATAATAAAAGGTACAATAGGCGGTCTTATCGCTACTAGCGATTTCTTTCAGACAACCTTTAGTATATTAAATTAGAATTATACGTCACCTGGATATCCTCCAATCAAAATGATTAACTCGTCGGTTTGACATGTGTATGTCTAAATATTTATTTAATTTATTTACCTCTGAAATTGAACAAGAAAAGTGTGAGAAAAGCAAAATGATTTCCGTTTTCTTTTGTTTTAGTAAACGACTACAAATTTTGTTGTTTTCTTTAGAACTGTTTAAGATTTCAAAAAATATTCTTTTGTATTTTTAACATAAAGAACGATGATAATTTTTTCATTTTAGTAAAAGTTGTGAAAGCTAACAACATAAATAAATATTATTTTCATTGTAAATGTAAAAAATTATACAGTGTTTTTTCATTTTCAGGCTACGTTAATTAGAGAGAAAACTCGTTAAAGCCCTGTTGCCTAACTATAACAAAAATTGCCAATCATGCGGCCCATTGGAGCATAAGTAATGTCTTCTGTTGCCTTCACATAAGTCCCGGTGGGGTATTAGATTATTTAGTGACCTTCACGAGTTTTACAATGTCATATGAATTATGTAAAGACGTGTCGGATATAAGCATTTATGAAAATAGATCTTCGTGCGTCACCGGTTACTTATAAGAGATTAATTTAAATCGTTGTAACGCATTCAAGATATGGAGAAATTTATATATTGCGTCATTTATAATATATTTATACTACGTAGGTAGTTGTTGATATTGCTCGTTAGAGAATGAAATATATAATTCAAATTTTATACGTGGTAGAGCCATGCTGCAGTTATATTAGTAGTATAGTTGTAGCACGAATGGGTCGGCTCGACCGGGGAAGGACCACGCTCTCACAGAACACCAGCGTGAAATAGTAGCTTAATGCTGCTGTATTTCGTATGGTGAGTGTAGAGAACCGGAGACCCTTTTTACTGGAAACGAGGCATTCCATCTCAGTCCTCACGGGTGACAACGCATCTGCATTTTGATTTTTAATGGAGGATAGATGTAGATGTCTATGGGCCGCAGCAACCACTTACCATCAGGTGGACTGTGTGCTCGTTTGTCACCCTATTCTATAAAAAAAAACAAATAAGGCCTGTTTTTTAACGGATCAGGCGGATATTATGTTTCTGGTTTGCATGATTTTAATAACCGTGTAATGTAGATATTCTTTGAGATATTCTTGTAGATAGTAGTCGATGTGTCTAGATGTTTTTTTATTATAGGATAAGGGTGACAAACGACAACACAGACGACTTAACGATAAGGGTTGTTCCAGCCCATGTAAATCTAGATCTATCCTCGATTACGAATCAGAATGCAGATGCGTTTTTATTCATGAGGACGAAGATGGAGTGCACCGTTTCCAGTATAATAGTTCTCCGGTTCTCTAAACTCACGAAATACAGCAGAGTTGAGCTTCTATTTGACGCTGGTATTCTGTGAGAGCGTGGTCCTTCCCCGGTCGAGACGACCCATTCGTGCTACAACTATACTACTAATATAGCTGTAGAATGACTCTACCACGACAAGAACAAGTAGATGGGCAGCAGCATCGTCCTAATAAAAACTAGAAAATAAATGAACTATGACAAATATAAGTGAACCTTGACAGGCTGTAATGAATGGACAATGTGTGATTTTAGGTTCATTTTATCCACTTTAATTTTGTACAGTTTTGAGTACTATATTATTTCTTCGTGTCGACACTGAACAATTTGCTCTTGCATATTAGAATTGTTTTCTCGTCAATCAAAGAAACTATTAACCCGACCACTTTGCTACAAATATTTACAATATGTAAGTATTTCGTACATCGAAATACTTACGACTTCTTTTCTGTCAGTTCAACCATTTGTATTTGTCTTATCCTATATGTTGCGTCAAATTTCTATTAATTTTCCTTCTCTATCACACGATATACCTTACTTAATCGCAGAGACTGCATTTAATTTCACTGCATACTGCACTATTATCACTGTTTCTCATTCTATCACTTATAGTCATTTAAAGTCGTTTAAAGTCATACTAATATGCTTTTTTGTTAATAGTGAGCTCCGAAGTAATTAAAATTAGTAATTTTCCACCCACTTTAATATGCATAAAAATGTAGAATCTACGAATGTAAGATTAATATACCTAGTGTGATGGCAGGAAACAGGACGAAACAATAATAGTGCAAGAGATGAGTGACTATGTACCTACACATAACACTTGCCACCTATTTTGATCTTAGGCTTTGAGGAAACGAAAATCTGGTTCGCGAAAAAACTTCCTTGGAAATATGCCAGGTTAAATGCAAATTATAGAATTTTACAGCAAATTTTTTGAAGACTGTGGTTGTGGCAGACGGGTGCGGCAAAGGAACTTATTTAGTCGGAAATAAATTAAATTGTAGAGCCACGTTGCAGATATATTATGGTTGTAGCACTAATAGTTCGGCTTAACCGGGATAGGACCACACTCTCACAGAATATCAGCGTAAAATAGCAGCTTAATGCTGCTGTGTTTTGTATGATGAGTGCAGAGAACTGGAGATTCCTGGAAACAAGGCATATCTTAGTCCTCAGGGGTGACAACGCATCTGCATTGTGATTCTTAATCAAGGATAGATGTACTCGTAGATATGTGTGGGCCACCGCATCTTCTTACCATCAGGTGGACTGTGTTCTCGTTTGTCAACCTTATTCTTAAAAAAAATAGTTTAAATGAGAAATATCAATAAACCACGTTTTGTGATTAGGAGGTCCACGAATAGGTAACATTACGAGCTTGAATCAGTTTCCAAGCGCTGCAGTGTTAGATTACGGTAAATAGTCTCGGCTGATGTTCAATAAACTAACTATCGGGGTATTGATATAATAGCATAACTAATGCTTCCCTTTTATGCAATTAGTAGTGTAGAAAAAGTTAAATATTTCATAGACATATAATCCGCTAATAAATTAACCTACACAGCGTAGTGACCTCATTCCCGTACATTAACTTCTCAAAAATGGTAGATAGACTTCTACTTTTTTTTAAAGTTAAGATGAGTATTTAGACCAAGCAGCGTTGTTACTTCATTTTTGCATAAATAATCCTTTTCTAGAATAGTTTGCGCGAGAGACACTTCCAAAGTGATAAAATGTGTGCCCCCCCTGTAACTTTTAAAATAAGATAATGGTAAAACTAAAAAAAATATATGATGTACATTACCATGTAAAACTTCTACCGAAAATTGGTTTGAACGAGATCTAGTAAGTCGGTTTTTTTAATACGTCATAAATCGTAAACCACAATTTACCTTTCATTCAATCAACTACAAGAACTGTTATATTATGTTACTTGCTGCTACGGAATCCTTCATGGGCGAGTCCGACTCGCACTTGGCCGCTTTTTTTACATGTGTCAAAAATGAGACAACTCGTTATGTAATATACTCGTATTATACGTTAAGAATACTTACTTACTTATCTTCACGCACAATCCCTAACGGGGTAGCCAGAGAGAACAGATCGCCAAGTGTCACGATCCTTACATACCTCTTTCGCTTCTTTCAGGTTCATTAACTTCTTCATACATGCACGTCTAGGTATCCGAGTACTCTTGACCTTCCCCTCTTCGAGCAATTTGCTCACATGGTCTTCGAAAGTTAGTCTCGGTCTACCTCGACACCTTTTAATATTTACTTTCGCTCTATATATTTTCTTCACCATTCGGTCTTCACTCATTCGCTCAACGTGCCCAAACCATTGGAGTACGCCCTTATCAATTTTTGTGATAAGGTCATCTTTCAATCCTGCCATATTGCGAATCTCTTCGCTTCGCTTTCGATCGGCTATGGTAACGCCACATATTTTACGAAGAGATCGTATCTCCACTGCATTCAACTTGCTTTTATGCTTCTTCTGGCATACCCAGGTTTCGCTGCCATATAACAAAGTCGGTACCAACACTGCGTTATGTATTGCAAGGAACTCTTCACCACGCCTTGCCTTTTGACTAATGCATTCAGGGCACCATTGACTTTGTTTCCGGCAGCGACACGCCTATCCACATCTAAATCACATCTTCCATCCCGCCTGAAAGCCCTCCCCAAGTATACAATTTCATTTAACTGTTCTAGACATTCCTGATTTACCCATATTTCACATTTCGTTCTCTCTTCGTCCTTTTCAAATACCAGAACCTTAGTTTTATTAGCATTCAAACGGAGATCTTTAATTTCACATTCCTCTTTCATACAGAATTTGGAACAGAACAGGAACAGAATTTGGAGTAATATAGAGATAATAATAATAATGACCACCAGACCGAATTTCGGTTACGGTGGTCAGTCTGAACAGAGACTTGCCATCTGCACGGGACAGAATTATCCTAGGTCTCGTAGTTAGATAGAATGGAAATCCGACACGATCGGAGAAAGATCAGGCACAGAATCAATGGTTTTACGTGGTTCGAGGGTAAAACACCGATAGCTTCCTGACTCCGACGAAATTCTACGTAGCAGTAGAATTTCTTGACAGAAAAACTCAATAATGGATTTTGGCCCGACCCGGGATTCGAGCCCGGAACTTCATGATCTGTAATTGCGTTCACGACCACTAGATCAACGAAATAGCCAATAAAGATATATTAGATTAATAAATTTCAAATGATAATGTACCTGCAACCTTAGAATGGTAAGCGACGCCGACGCCACATACACCATTATCGCGGGCAGCGGCAACTTCACCAGCGCACCGTGTCCCGTGGCTAGACATAAAATATGACAATTCAGTTAGATAATTCAGAATTAAGAAATAAAGTAGTGATACAAAACGTACGATTTATAACTTAAAGTGATAAAGAAAACATAGTAAAACATTATTTACGATTTTCAGTTAACACTTATTTTGTTTAACGAATCTCGAACTATTTTTTAATTATATTTTATATATTTTTTGATTATAGATATGAGACAAGATACCTTATACATATTTGTGTATATATCTATATGTGTGTATATATGAGTATGTACGTATGTGTGTATGTATGTATATATACGTTGCATTATGCATATGTGCAACACTACTTATATTATTACAAACAAATTAATACCTAAATATATAATATACTAAATAAAGAAACACTACCTAATTATAGTATCGTATTATATATAGTAATGGTTTTAAAAGATAAACACAAACAATAACAGCTAACACTACAAATTAATTTTGAACACAATAAAATAGTTAATGTGTCATAGGCCTTAACAAATAACTCGCCACAATCATTCAATTTTGACCGAAGTAACGATGGTCTGCTTAGCTTTGGTACGAATACTTTTGCAACTACCCTATTTACTTATGTGTAATATTTACTAAATAAGTTATTAAGAACTCAATTAGAAAATAAGTTTTAGCGACCTATTATAATACTAGCTCACTACGCCAATCGGCTTAATGTTTTTTTTTTCTTTATAATGTGTATTTTCTCTGTAAGTGATTTGTAAATCTTTTGAGAAAATAAATGTCTTAAACCATAATTAAATATAAATATTTAATTATGTAAGATGAAAATAATTTTTTTTTTCGTTTATATTGATAAAGATGCTATGTTTCAGCTTTTGTTCTAAATATAGAAAAAACAACAAAACAAAATACAAATGAACATGAATTCTATATAGGGCCTAAATGTACGAGTAAGTAAATACATCTTTAATCAGCTTAATATCTTTGAATAATAAGAAAGTTTTCTATGGATACTGGAATAACTAAATTTCATAGAAGCATAGTGATATTGAATTTTGGCCGTGTAGTGGCGGTGTAAGAATATCCACTAGCCCATATCTTCCCGTGGGTGTTATAAGAGGCGACAGAGGGAGACAGGCAGGAGATGGATAGTAGCGTCTTCCTACGAGTAATAACGATTTCCACGACACTAGGACCATAACTTCAAATTCACTCCTCACTTTTTAATTACTCAACAATAACGACTCAACCACAACGCCACCTTTCAGGTTCAAATTTTGTGAATTGCTTTTTTGGACCAACATAATATAATTATTTTAGTCCATAAAAATATCGAATCTGTTAATAACAAGACAGAAATAACTAGCATAGCTTTTTAACACATTACTCTATTTCCTGCATTCATTCGTCGTTCTATATCAACACAAATATACACAAATACAAATTTATCCACTTGCTCAATCAACTCTTTATATTCTTATGTCACATAGCGTGGTACTTTCTACTCTTTCAAAATCCATCAATTTTGTCTTACTTGCATTCGCTTTCATTCCCTTTTCTTTTAATGACCTGTTCATTAATGTAACCACCATTTGCAGCTCGGCCGCCCACGACACACATATGACTTGTTCATTGGCGTACAAAATGCGTTTGACGGTTAACTCAGCCATTTTTAACCCACATTCTTCAAGTTTCAAAGTTTTTAATCAACTGTCCATAAATAGATTTAACAGCCATGGGCTACACAGCCCTGTCTGACATCTTTATGGATGCCAAACCAGTCCAGGTGGGACCCGTTGATCCTGACACAAGCACTAGAGTTCCTATAAAGAGATTTTAATACCTGTATCAACCCAGCGTTTAACCCAAATGAGTTTAGTTTTTGCCACAACACATCCCTCTCTAGTCTGTCGCGAGCCTTTTCCATGTCCATGAACGCACAAAAATCTTTTTTATTTGTGGCCAAAGATTTTTTCGTGATCATTCGAATGAAAAAGACTTGATCCATACACTCCATTTTCTTTCTAAATCCAGCTTGCATACCCCAAATTTTTCCGTTTCATTATTCTTTCAATCAACCACCTTAGCATATAGTTTTCCCATGATGCTAAACAAGTTGACGCCACGGTAGCTTTTATAATCCTGTTTTGAGTCCTTGCTTATATATATTGGGACTATAACGGCCTTGCAGAAGTCTTTGGGTACTTGCTTCTTTTTCAAACATAAATTAAATAAATTGCATAGCAGGCCTGCCATCACTACCTCTCCAGTCTTAGTATTTCGAGTGATACTCTATCATACTCGGCTGCCTTAACTGCTTTAATACTTTTCATTGCTTTTATTATTTCATCTATACATGTCTCCCTTCCTCTTTCCTCTTCTTTCGGTGTTTCCAGCTCATTAAATTCAAACATCTTCTTACTCATAAACAATCTCCCAAAGTATTTCTTCCATCTCTTTAAGATCGAAACTTAATCATTTAAAATACAGCTATTAAATGTAGGTCGATTTGAATTTCCCTCACAGTTCTTACAAGTTTCCAGAACATTATAATATTTGCCTGGAAGTTATCAGATATTTTTCTATCATTCTTATCCGTTCTTTTTTGCTTTTATCTTTCATTTACTTCTTTTACTCTCTCAATTAAAGGCCTCAAGACTGCCTACTTTCTTCAATCTCATCATCAATACCGTCAGAATTACCTTGTTTGGTTCCTAGTAAATCTAGCCATGCTTTCTTATTTGCTTCACCTTCCATACGTACCTCATCATCCCATCATAACGTATTATTTTTCCTTATACTACATATTTCGGTTGCTGCGTCCACCAAACTTTTCTTAACATCGTCACAGTTTCCAAGTTTAAATTATTTAAACACAATTCATCCAAACCACTAATATTTTCCATTTACATTTACATTTATGACGACCCATTCACACCTTTGTCTTGTAACTTTTCTATTCATATAACGCAGTGGAAGACATAGATGTCCGATGCCGCTAACGTTTAAATAGATCATTAAGTCGACTTAAGGCCAAGTCCGTCCCTACGCTGGAGCTCCCCTGTACACCCTTGTATATACTACTCCGCTGCTCATTCTTTCATCAACAGTTATGCAATTTATCAAGCTTCTATCATCTCCTCTTTCCCTGTGTACATGTGAATCTTCTTATGACGAAAGAAGGTGTTCACCATTCTCATTTTATACTTTCATCACCAGTCGTTTCCAATATCCTTTCATAACCAGACCTCCTCATCCCAACCCTTCCATTAAAATCTTCTAACATCACAATATTTTAATTTCCCTTACATTTCAATAGCACCATTCTTATCATTTCTCAAAACTGTTCTCTAATATATTACCAGCGATTATTATCTATAGTCAACCAAATCTAAGAAATACCTTTTGACGTTTCACATTAATCATTCCGCAATAACTTTGCACAAGCGTACTCACACGATTTAAAATAACCTTTTACGTAAATCCGAAGAATTATGAATTTATCTATATTTCATTACAAAGTTTTTTATCACTAATTTAAACTTGAATATTTGGAACAAAGCAAAATATTAAAAAATAACCAGTATCAACTTTTTACTTGACTGTGTGTTTGGTTGATTAAAATTTATTGTTATGGGAATAATTGGCAAATATATTCAAATAATCGGTAAAATATTCAAATAATTGAGACAATAATTTTTTAACGTATTATTTGTTTAATTTAATTTTTATTTTTAAAATTCTTTAAATTATGTGAGTCGTGAATAAACAAATTCATTTGGGAGCACGCTGTGCGTAATTTTGTGATTTTGTGTTTGTCTTCTTATTTTATGGCTCGGCTTTAACTTTTTTGGACTGTTTGATCTATATTCGTTGAAGTATATGCCTATGTCACAAGGGATGATTGGGCTAAAGCGGTAGAAAAAAAACAATAAAATGTATAATGGATGACTTTGAAAGAGACATTAATTTTGACTGCATTATTTAAAATCAAATAAGAATTAATCTAAACAACGACAGTTCAACTAGTTGAACTGAAAATGATTGAATAAATTTATTTTTAATCTAGTTTCAATCTTAAATTTTTATAACTTTGCCTCTAGAAATAAGCAGTAACAAAAAATATGAAGAAACTGATAAATCTTGTGTTTTAAATTATCCGTTTCTAATTTATTCTGATATTTTTTTAAACCAAACTGTAAATGATTACAAACTCTAAATAATCAATATCGATTTTTTTAAGAATCGAATATTGTACGCTCCCATTTTTTGGTTGGCATGCTTGGTACAATAAGTCTGACAGCTGTCAAAATGTATTTCTTAGATTTGGTTGACTATAATATATAAAAATAATGTTTTATTATTCATATTTTATGCGCCGCCATACCGTGTCAGATTGCGGTAAACTTTGTCAACTTATTGCTTGGTTATTATTGCTTCTACGTGCGCGATGGTTATAGGCAACGTACAATTAACTTACAGTAGGTAACCCACGTATCGTACCGACAAATTTATTTAAAAGTCATATATCATTTAATTTCAATGAATGTATAATCATTCCTAATTAAATAATATAACTCTTCCAAATTAAAATATTTCCACAATTGTTTCTTCGGTGGCGGCAAAGCGCCAGGTTCCAACTATAAGGTAGTAAGTATGGATATAATAAGTGTCATATTAGCAATGCATTATGATCACAGTGTTCTTTCAGTATTTTAGATATTGACCAGGATGGAAATTTTGGAAAACTGATTGGCAACCTTATTTGCTGAAACTCTATAGAGGAATAAAAATAATTGTTTAAACAACGCTTATCACACTATTGAACAATACACGATTGATAATAACCCCCGGGCATGAGATGATCGCTGCCATGCTGTTCCTAACTATTTCCATACTTAATTGTATATAATATTGTATTGTAAATTAATGTATAAAGAAATTCCCGCTGGATATTTTTACTGGTTTGCCAGGTTGCCAGTTTTTTAGCTAGTGGCCAGGACAAAGGTTTTTTTTTCGAAACAGTGTTAGAGCGTAAATGATTTTCAATAAGTAGTCTTGTAATCTATAATAAATAAAAATTATCCTATTCAAGGATATTATCATCACATACCCTCACATGTGAAGATGATATCTAGATCATCTATCAGAGGCCACAACCTCAACATCACATAAACAAATATTTCGCGTACTGGTACCTCGTAGGCGTCATGAGAGCCGACTAAAAAGATCTTATGCTTTCTTAGACTTTTCATAGGGAGTGGTATAATTATCTCTTCCTCTATTACCATCTAATCCGCCTTCCAAGTGTATTTAAATTTGGAGATACACTCAGCAGTGAAATGTTACGAACTAATAAAAAGAAAAAGTGAAATATTCTCATTTGACATTTATACTTTCAATAAAAATCAGATTTAACGAACAATCAAAAAACAAGAAAATTTACCGTCTATTCACGGCTCGGATAAATTGTTTAACGTAGCCAAGTAATCAAAACCATAGTGTACTCGTAGCTCACGTTAATGCTTATTGTAGACCAATAATTCAAAGAAATGGCCGCTGATTGCCATCGAATCTTAAATAATATAAGCCGCACCTATTGAACCAGTCATCGGTGTACCGTGGGTACGGGTATGGATCGTTGCTGCTGAAATCATACGACGCCTCTGCATTCTGAAACAAACGGAATTATGTAATATTTTATTAAAAGAGGAAAGAATACATAAAGGACAAAAGAAACCGTCACATTATTTGCTTCCATAGGTGTCGTAAGAGGCGACTATAGGAAATTAAATAGGAGATGGTTATCGGCTTCTTCTTCCTGATAACAACCCAAAATATAAAATAAGAAACATGAAATTGCCAACCCGCCTGCCACGCCTGGCAACTACAGATGGGGGATATTATGAGGCAATCTACAGGGAAACCCCATGTTCAGCAGTGGATTTTTGATAGGTTGTAATGAAGGAAGGAAAGATAACAAACAAGAAAATAACAAATTATAGTTGTTACTGATACCAGATAACTTTCTTTAAAAAAAATTTATTAAAAAATAAATAAATAAAGTTTCTCAATACGTGGAATACGCTGAAGGTTTTGCGTGGCTCATAAATAAAACAATTTTTATGTAAACTGATATGCGAGTATTTATTGTTTTTTAAAATATTCTCCATTATATTTTAAACAGTTTTTAATGCGTTCAAACCATTTTTTAAAAACTAAAGCCGGTTGAAAGTTATCAACTTTTTTGGTTCCTTAAATTTCACGCCACTCACCAAAGTTTTGTTTTGGGAAAATAAACAAATTGCATGATACAAGGTCTGAACTGTTTACGGTCATGTACTCCTTTTCAGAAGCCAAAACTGACTTTGTCTTGTTCGTGGTGTACGCCAAAGAATTATCATAGTGCAATAGGATGCGAATTCTTGATCGTTTTCCCTAATATTTTAAGACACTGGGCAAACAAATGGCGACGTATCACTCAAAATTAACTATCCATTGTCCATCAAGTGGGAACGTGCAGACTGTTCCTTTCTTTCTTGTCTCATACCAATCCCCAAATGTCCTAGATTCTTCGCATAAGTGAAGGTCGACTTTCACGAACTCCATCATCTTGAGAAACATGGCCAGTCAAATTCTGCGTGCTCAAGTGAGGTGCTATCCTCCTAAAAGCATTTTGCAGACGAGCAGTACAATCTTGCGGAGAGAGTGGACTTTTAAAATCATAAAAAATCATCGCCCTAAAATTTCAAAACCACACCACTCCTACTTACTTCGCATCGAGTTATGGTTAAGGTTATAGTTTAAAGGTTATATTAATTTGATCAATTTTCAATATTCCACCAATTTGGTCAATAAACTTTCGCCTAGGGCGTCCCTCGCCGACTCTGCCACCCACTTACTTAACATTAATTTGCTTTGCCTCTCTTCCTCTTATTCATTTCTACATGACTTAAACACCGAAGCATTCCTTTCTAATTCATGGATTCCACACAATCTTGCAAAAACACTTTTCTTTAATCACACAATTTCCCAACCTATCGTTTTGAGTCACTCCTAACTTACTTCTCATTGACCTCATTTTTGCTACGTTGATTTTACTCTCATGCTTTTGTGCCACCAACTTTTACTACCATACATTAACCAACCCACCAGCACCAACAACAGGTAGAGCACCAACGCTTTCATTTATCACTTGTTTTTGGATTTTCAGGTTCATTAACCGCTTCCTCAGATTTACGCTTGGAAAGTATTGGTTAAACTCGAAACTTCGTTATTCAAAATCAAGCCATTCTCATCTGGAATAGCATTCATTAGACTAACTGACTTTCCCTTGCCAGTTGTGACGAGTTTCCAGAACATAACGAAATATGTCTAAAGTTTTCACATAATTTTTATCGTATTATTTTCTGTACTTTATAGATTTTTCTGTTCTTCTTCTTTAATTTTTTTATATCATCATTATTGATATAATCATCTTAGCTGAAGTGGAAATGTTTGTCATAGTAGCTTAGAAAATAGGTTGGCAATTATGAAATACATCAAGCTTCCAAATTTTCTTCGTTCACATATACACATATGAATCGATCTAAAGAGTGTTCTTCATAAAAGTATAACCTTTCTAAACGTATCGTGACGAGGCTTCCTTTTTATTTCCTTTCTCATTTAAAAATTGATCACTGTACGTTCTTAATACCTTTCTATGACAAAACTTCTTTACCCCAAATATGCACTCAAAAAATTTTTTTTATTATGAATTAGTTTCATGGATTGATATAAATTGTTAACATGAATAATGTTACAGTTTTTTTCAGAAATCCATACCAAAATGTAACAGTTAAAGGAGTAAGTATTGTACTTAGCTCAAGCTTCGAGGGTTCCATAGTAGTACGTACAAAAAGCAACTGCTAATGGAAAATGGTAATAAATCTCTCCGTCAACTTCTGAAAGTATGTTAATATTTGATTTTGTTTTCCCTTTCAGTATCCTAATTTATTTTCAGTCAGCTACCATGCCATGGGAATATAACAGCAGTACCTCCAACTTTGTACATATATTAAAAATGTAAATGTCTGATATATTGTTTTACTTTTGTCTTCAAATATATTTTCGAATATTTTTTAATGTTTTATTGCATACAAGTTCGTATTCTAATCAAATTTTTAATGCAAACTATAATACTTAAAAATACTAAATAAAAATACGTTACATGCGATATTATTAAATACTATATATGTCTTAACCACAATGTTATTTTTGCTTCATATTGTGTTTTGGTTTCATTTTATTGTGTTTTGGTCTAAATGGTAAAAGATCTAGGATAATTTAACAGCCTGTGAGCCATTTTCGTTTAATCCCTGGGGATCCGGTATGATCTAGGGTGACAACGCATCTCTGGCTTATTTTTAAAATAATTACAAACGAGCACACGCTCAACCTGATTTTAAATGCTTTGGCCTATACATTTGTCCTCGATTAAGAATCAAGAATCAGAGGCTTTGTCATCCCTAAGGATTAAAAATAGTTCTCGTTGATAGTAGAAAGGGTCAAATGATCTTTTTATTTAAAGGTTGCAGGTATTCAATCAGCATCCGTTTTTTATTTACTCGTATAATAATAAAATAAACTAAAAGCTAATGACTAAAATTATACTCTTAATAGCATTGTTCCAAAAACGTCAGTTGCGTTGTTTCGCTGAATGTTTTTACTCAGCCTTTGAGCGAGATAAATTCCGTGCTTACAAAGTGTCCGCCGGTTACCGTTCGCGTTAAATTATAAAATAAGCCTCCTTAAACATTACTATAATAAAATTAAATTCGAAAAGTTTCGTTACCAATTTTACGGGTATTCTATTTCTGTATAATATTAAATGGAATCACATTTTAAGGGAGAGTTGGACAGGCTTATTCGCAAAGTTTAAATTATTTGCCTTTAATTAACTGAGCATTTTCCCGCGAATGATTCGGAGAGCTTTTAGGGACGTAACATGGTTCAGTAGTCATGAATAAAGCATTTTCATTTAAAATTCAACAGCGGAATAATCTGGGCTTCAAAAAGGACGATAAAATGGGTACAGAGATTTTTATTTACACAGCCGGATGGGAATAAGGTAGTCGTGTATAATAAAAAAGAATACTTACATAATTATACTTCAGATCCGGATGCATGTAGTCTACGCCTAAAACAGAAAAAGATCAATGAGTTTTTTCATAAAGCAAGCTATACCTTACCGACATCAATAGCGATATAGCCTATCCACTGCTGAACATAGGCATCCCCCATATTTTGCCTCATAAGAGGGATATTTGTCATAGTTGACAAAAGTAGTTTTTATTTTTTATTTTAATCGTTACCAGGAAGACGCTGCTGTTCATCTCCTGATTTGTTTCCCTTTGTCGCATCATACGACACCCACAGGATGATATGTGGTAGTGGATATTCTTAAACCTATATCTTAAATGAGGATAATATTTTTCCTTGATTTTTTTTTTAGTACGCGAGCAACTAAAATGTGACAAATACCGTCACTAATAAAATTCTTAATTTTTTTTATACAATAAAGATGAAAAGCAAGCACACATTCCACCTGATGGTAAGTGTATACTGTAGCTCATAGACATCTACAAGATGCTCGATTATGAATCAAAATAGAGATGTTGAAATAATACTAGTTTTTACGGAATTTATCACGTATATTTAACTTTTTTTTTTAAAATACCCAACGTTTCGAACGCTTATAGTATCTATACTGTGTAGATCGGAACAAAAGTTAAAATTTTAATCTATGGTTACCGCGGTTAACTATGACATCTGGACGTTGAACATCTCAGTCCCGCCCGTGACCATGAGTGCTGTAAAGCGTTCGAAACGTCGAGTATTTTTTTAAAAAAAAGTTAAATATACGCGAAAAATTCCTTAAAAACTAGTATTATTTCAATGTGTATTGTTCGCGTAAATATAAGAAATCATTAAAATACAGATGTGTTGCCACCCCTGAGGACATAGATGATATCCCTAGTTTCCAATCAAAAGGGCCTCCGGTTCTCTACACTCACCATACGAAATACAGCAGCGTTAAGATGCTATTTTACGCTGGTATTCTATGGATTTCTAAATTCTCAATAGCAATACTAAATTAAATAATTGCCTTCTTATTTCATAAAAAATAATGAGTAAGAAGCCTTCAGGTCTGAGAAATAATATAAAAACACCTTTTACTGTAAACACGGCATACCATTTTAGTCCTCAGTGTTAACAACCCATCTGCATTTTGATCCTTAATCGAGGATAGATTTAGATGTCTATGGCTCACAGCATCCATTTACCATCGGGTGGACTGCGTGCTCATTTCTCAAATGTATTCAATAAAAAATTGATAGTTTCCATTCTGGGAGCTTTAGTTTTAGCGTTTTCGGATGATAATTTCGCCATATGTCAAAAGTTACAGAATCTGACATAGGTCATCTATGAAGCTTCTTTCTTAAACGACTCTAACGTCGTGCTAAAGATGAGAATCTTTAACGCCACCACCACTATATAACATGTTCATAGGACGACACCACCAAATAATACGATATTTTTATTTGGATTGCTTATATTTCTTTTTAATAATATAACATATTGCTAATTGGGGCTAATTACAATTATAGCAAATTTATAAGCATGTAAAAAATTATATATTTTTACGTACCATCATCCATAATCGCTGTTGTAACATTCACACCGGTGTATCCCTGAGCCCAGGCCGCTTCCACATTCAAGTCTAACTTCGGTTTACCGCCATTTTGGCCGGTATTTTTCAGATACCATTGCAAAGGAAAGTAAGGATCTCGAGGCTCAGCAGCAGGTACGGGCTCGGGCACTCTTAGAAGGCGAAAACCTCGTTTCACTCGCTTAAAACCTGTTTGTTGTATTGCTGTATGAACCTGGGAGAAAAATTACAATCATCAATATATATATATATATATATATATATATATATATATATATATATATACATATATATTATTACAGGAAGATATAATATGTTTAGTGATCCATACCGGCATTATACACGGGAGATGCGTAATTAATATTTTTCTACCATCGTTACATAGAATAATCTCATAATATATTAATATTGCAAATAATAAAAACATCTAAACAGATTTTGGCAGATGGGTTGACAAGGCAGTTTTTTCTTACTACATCCTCGGGACGATATGAAGTAGTGGATATTTTTACATCGCCACTACACGGCTATACACGGCACCTATGATTCCTTTGAAACTTTCCTTCCCCATTAGTTGTCAGTCTTCCGAGTCACTACTGTGTACATGTTTAAAGCTATGCAACAAAAACATTATTCTATAAATATGCAGCACATTAGATTGGATATATATTCATAATTTTTGTTCTCATTCTGAAGCATGATTATTCATGCAACATAAACTAACACGAAGCATATTATTATGGTTCGTGTTAAATCTGTTTTTCGAAATCTATTGATCAAATGAATAATATTACATTACTGCCTCCTACTTGATTGATGTATTCGGATATTTTCGTCTGAATATGAATTTTTCGGGGTAATTTGCAAGATGGAGTATCAATCAATGCCATAAGAAATTGTCTCTACATGCTGTTATTTAATAAATTATTTTACTATTTTTTAATAAAAAAATATTTTTTTTCAATCATAATTTACTTAATAATAAGTACGTAAGAAAATGTCTACTTAATGATTTATGAAAGGTCAAGAGAAAGGTCTGAAAAATCTCCGAAATTGAGATAACAAAACATTGAAGAAGCATACTTACACATACATATTATACTTAAATAGTATATACAAGTACAAAAAATACTACTATTACGTTTATCAACTTTATCATAAATATAGTATATAGTAATAAATGCTTAAACATAAAAATTTATCACAGAGATATAAAAGCTTTTCAGTTTAGAAACACATTGTATATATAGATAAGCCGCACACTTGTGAATAATTATTTTGTAGCTATAAGTACATGCCAACGTCAGTCGTCTGAAATTTAGGACTAAAAATAATGTGTTTTTGAAAATAATATGAATTTAAATAAAATAGTATGTAACTAAGCAAAGCAAATATTACCTTTATATTATGAAATATTAATAGTCCTTACCGAAAATATATTTAAATATATGTACTTAATAGAAAACTGGATTAAATATTAATAGTCCTTAACGAAAATATATATAAATCTAATATGTATTTAATATAAGTCTGGTGAACGATTAGAGCTCTTTTTGCATTTTGAAAATGTTTTGGCTCAGGCACTTGAGCGCGGACCCGAGGTTCGTTTAGTAGTAGGTCAATGCCTAAAAGTCATTTAATGATTACTTTCTATTATTTTTTTAAACTTTTTTTTATCAGAGGCAAAGGAGGCCGAGCCCCGGTGTGACGCAGCAAAAGTGGAGGTTTTTTTTTCACTATTTCTCTGGATAGGATGGCTATTATTTCGCTTGTATACATTACATAGAATTAAATACTGTTTGTAATTTACCTAATCATGAAAAATATATTTGTGTTCTTGGGAGTTTGTAGCGTGAAGTTAAGGTCATTTCTTATATAATATTACGACGTTTATACACGCATGCATGCGCGCACGCACATACGCACGCAAGCACGCACGCTCGCACGCATGCACTTCGATATGATTTGTTTGTATAAGTTATGTGATAAACAATATACATTATTATTATCATTTAATATTTTATATACATTTATATTGTATATTATATAGAAACCTACAACAAGCATTGCGTTCTACATTTCCCTTTCCTTTAAGTCTCCTTTTTTGTTACGTTCCAGTTTAATTATGTCATTAATTTACACAAATTTTTGACATTAAATAAATCTAATATTACGGTTTAAACCCGAAATACTTAAATACGAAAATTCGTGAAATTAGTTTTATTGAATACATTACAGTTTCTTTTTTATTTTTTTATTTGAATGCATCCATTACTATTGTAAAAATAAACGTTAAGACATCTAGAAGTCCGTGTAGAGGGCCAAAGTCATTTCATAGTAAGGACAGTTTGGAGAGTGAGCAACTAACGACATATCAATTTTATACAACCTAATGTAAAACAGTTCTCGGTGTTTCAGACTTTATTTGGTTGGTGTATAAATTAGTGATGTATAATTTGTGGCCCAGAGAAAGCCTCGTTAGCCTAGTGATCGTAAACGTGACTGATGATCATTAGGGCCCGGATTCGAATCCCAAATCTGATCTACAAAAGCAGTTATTGAGTTCTTCTGACAAGAAATTCTTAGATGTAGCTCGGAGTCAGGAAGTCAGCGTTGTTTCACCCCCGTGTCTCGGAAAGCACTTAAATCCGTTGGTCCTGATCCTGTTCTCTCTACAGTCTTGTCGGGTTGCTATTCCATCGAATTATAAGAGTGCACGGCACATGCACAGAAACCATAGTTATCGAACTAAAAAAAAAAACACAAAAATAATTTTTTCTCGAAAGAATTACCTCAAAAAAAAAAAAAAAAAAAAACACAATACTTATTTTGTTCTATAATTTTTAAACCCGTATAAAGCGAATAGAGAGTGAGCCTGTGCTTTCCAAAATTCGATCTGAAGAATCTTATAAGTTTTAGGCCTAAAAATACATCATATTATTTTTCCCGCCACGGTACAGAAAGTTTCACTTAGGTGAGATTAAGAAAATCTAACGTTTGGACTAGATTTTTAGTTCAATGAACATTTAAGACGTTTTTAGACCGTGTCAATTGCACATGAACTTAAATACACACCCGGTACAATTAGTTGTAGTCCATAAAACACTTGTTGGTTATGGAGTTTGAACACGCGTTTCGTTGCACCGCAACCAAACGTTTAGCTATTGTGCTACTGAGCTGTAACCAGTTAATTATCAAGACGGTTAAGGCAGGCACTTTAGATGTATTGAATATGGATTGAGGAGTTTAAACCCGAAGTTTAGAGGCAAATTGTAAATTTGTACCTAATAAATTATTTCATTATCGCTTGAATAGTTATGTTCTGAGATCATGATTTAATAATTTAGTAAAACATAGAGTATTATATATTTGTATAAAGTATTATTATATATTTGTAGTAGAACTAATTGAAAAATACGTTGTTATATAAATAAATATACTAATAAGTCTTTATCTTTGCCATCAGTCCGTGAAAATGTCCACTACTGAATTCATTTGATGACATTGGTCTCAACAGAAAAAGGACAATTTTGAGGAAGGAAGATCTGGTTTAGGCAAGCAATATTTTAGAAACTTATTATATACTATACTGAATGATTTTTTTTACAAATACAAATGAACAATAAGGTGTAACAGGTGAATGAAAGAGAAGCCTATGGCAATGATGCTTTTACATCAATATATTATGAAATTTAATCAATAAAATACCACTAATTTAAAATAAACTTTAAGTAATAAAAATAATAAAAACAATAATTTTGAACTAAATAAATAGATCAATAGAAAACTGTGGAAATCAAAATAATACGGACGCAATTAGGAGTATTTATTGATAGATCAATTTCATTATATGTTAGGCTTCTATTCCGTTCCCTTTTTACACCTTATTTTATTCAGACGGTGAAAAAAATTACCCAGTGTATATAATATACTATATATAATATAACTTATACTATACATCTTACTTAGACTTTACTTTTTTTCATAGAATAAGGGTAACAAACGAGCACACAGTCCACCTGATGGTAAGTGGATGCTCCATCCCATAGACATCTACATTTATCCTCAATCAAGAATCAAAATTCTGATGCGCTGCCTCTTCTAAGGACTAAGGTTTAATGCCTTTTATCCAGTTAAGAGTCTACGGTTCTCAATTTTACGCTGGTATTCTGTGAGAGCGTGGTCCTACCTGTGTCGGGTCGACCCATTCGTGTTACAACCCTAATATAGCTGCAATATGCAGCAACAAGCTGCAGTATGTCTCTACCACGTGTCTCGTTATAGAATGCTGTTTTTTATTTATTTATGCCTTATTGAGTTTTACCTTGAATTAAAGGTTTACAGAGCGGGCTTAATGCCTTATGGCATTCTCTTTTCAACCCTATGTTGCTTTGTATGCGGAAAAGTTTGTAAAGTTTTATAAGCATTATCATAGTAAAACTGGTTGAAAATACGTCGTAAGATTTTAAAATTACACCTATGAGTGAATGGGTGCGTTTGGCAGAAAAAAGCGCTAGCAAGCGCTTATAAGCGCTAAAATAGTTTTCGGCCAGGACACGATTGTTACTTCATTAGCGCTGACGCAATCCGCCATTTTGCTTATTTAATTTATTTGTTTTGAAGTAGAGTTTATAAGTTGTTTTGTGCAATATTAGTTTTAAGTAATATAATGACATGAATAAACATACACATGCTATTAAAAACTCATGATTGGTAAGTTTTTAATATGAATACTTTACAAACATATATTTAAATTAGGTTAGATTCCCCGGTTAAAACTAACATCGTGTCCTGGAGGAAAATAGCTACTTACGATTTGACAGCGCTTACCGCTTACGATCGCCATTTTGCTTACAAGCGCTTGCTAGCGCTTTTTTCTGCCGAACGCACCCAATAAAACCGTTGTTTGGATCATCTACGAGTATATGTTTCATTTTAATTTTTTTATACTCTTACTCGACTCCTCCAATATTTATTCTTCTGTAACATCCATGTTCTTCAACTTCGATTAAAAATGGATTGTTATTTTATAAATTTGAATTAAATTACAAGGAGATGTTACTTACGAGTGGGTGTTGTTTCAGTAATCGCGTGTGTGCGATGGAACGCCGGGGGCGAGCATGCGGTAGGCCTCGATGAGCAAAATGCCAATCCGTATCAGAACCCAGCACCTAGAACAAAATTTAAAACATTTAGTAACATGTTTGCTATATTTCCATCTTATTATTTTCAATTTATTTCATAAATGGTAATTTTATACGTGGTAGAGCCACGCTGCAGTTACATTAGTAGTATAGTTGTAGCACGAATGGGTCGGCTCGACCGGGGAAGGACCACGCTCTCACAGAATACCAGCGTCAAATAGTAGCTTAATGCTACTGTGTTTCGTATGGTGAGTGTAGAGAACCGGAGACCTTTTTTACTGGAAACGAGGCATTCCACCTAAGTCCTCACAGATGACAACGCATCTGTATTTTTCGTAATCGAGGATAGATGTAGATGTCTATGGGCCACAGCAACCACATACCATCAGGTGGACTGTGTGCTCGTTTGTCATCCTAATCTATAAAAAAAGTAAATAATAATGGTAAGATAATAAAGGTAAACAAGGCAATAATTAAATTACGTGTAATTGGTTATAAAAAACAATCATCTGAAGTGTTGGATTATTTTCCTTGAACTACGCATTAAATAAAAATAATTATTAAAATCGGTTCTCAGTTGACGAAAATATCTAGTAGCGTAAATACAAAAGTACATACGGTCGTATTAAGAACATACTCTTTTATTTAAGTCAGTTAATACAAGTCTAACAGTAATAATAATTATGACGGCGAATAACCGTTACGGGTTCTGTAGGTAAGTCGAAGAATGAATGCAAATATAACAAATAATATTTGGAAAATCCAAAAGCGCACGCCTCACGCGCGTATTATATTAAAAATTAACAATAATAGTGACGGTAATTTTCACAAAAAAAAAAAAAACAAAAAAAAACAGAGAATCTGATCGACTTTCATTAATAACTTTCGAACGGTGTTGAGTTCAATAACATAAATCAATTGGGATTCTCCTTAGAATATATGGAATCCTATTTGATACTTTATATCATAATCTATTGCTTACATTTCTATCAAGTCAAAATACTTACCGACGCACACACAAACGGACGGCAGTCTATATATTTTCTATTACATTTTTTGTTATGTTATATAAAGTGATTCAATTAGAAAATAAGCTAATCTTATAATTAAATGTCTGTAGTTATTGTAACGTTAATAATAATATAGATTTGATTTCTAGCTAAAAGTATAAGAACGACTCCACGTAGCAAAATTGAGGTATGTCCATATGGAGAGTAGAGCACTTCCAACTTCACAACTGAGGCGTGCAAATATACCGCATAAGCGTACTCGTATCTTGGAAGGGTGATCGATATGGGTTTCTTATGAAATACTTCTTTATAATATGATGTTACATTTCGTTACGTTTCGTTACTGATTGGTGTAGGGATATTTCCATCTTAGGAGTATATCTAGGTTAACTACTATCCTTTTATCCACTACTTTAGTCGAGAAGCTGTTCTCTTATTCTTATGGTTCAGTTTAAGTTTTTATGAGAGCCCGTATAGTTAAAGGCTGTGAGATTATTTATCTTAGACTTCAGAAGTTACAACGTACTTGTGTTGGAGTTACATTCTCTGTTTTGATTTGCACCAACACCAGGATTTATTCCTGTATTATGGAGGCCTTTTTTATACACAAATTGCATCCAGACTCGGAATATTTATTTGTAGACTATGCAGACATATACGTATACATGATGTAACTTTATGCAAACACTTGTTCTGCGCTGGATTTGAACTGCTGTCCCCTAACTGGGTAGAAATATTTTCCCGTAGTAAAAATTATAATTATAAATTTTAATTGGTATAATTTTCCATGTAATAATGTTTATGTGCACAACTTATACATCTAATACAACGTTTCCTAATGCCGGAATGACCTTGTAAGATTTTATGAATTTCTTTATATACAAAATATATAATTTTTTATTATATTTGAAAATAAGTGCAGTTAAATAAACTTAACTAATCACGGGCTCCAATATAAAATAAAAACATACACATGAAAATTTAAAAATAAAAATAAAACTTATAACATTCTAAATGTTATAAGTTAAAAAAAGAACAGAGTGGAAAAAGTGAAGTTATAGTCTAAACACGTTTCACACATACCAAAACACGTTTCATACATATTTATTTATTTTAAAAATAGTCTGCTGACTGCTTTTATATAAAGCGTGTAATAATGGGTATTACAAACAAACAATAATATTGATTAAAACTACTTTTACGGATTTTATCGCGTTTAATTTTAATTATTTTTAATTCCCGACGTTTCAGGTGCTTTACAGCACCTATGGTCACGGCGGACTGAGATGACTGACGTCCCGATGTCATTGTTAAACCCGGAGTACCTTCAATTTTTTTAATTATTTACGGTCCAATCTATGCAAAATGAACTGACTGTGTCTTGAAGTCTTGCAGTGATATGCTTGGGTTTAGTTTTAATTTTATTGATTATAGGGTCCCAAGCAGGTGGTAGTACCCAGCTCCTTCTCTATTGAAATTAGGATGTTTTTTATCAAACAGACACAGAATCGGTGTTCTTTCGCGAGGATTTGTGGTCTATCAAAACTGATGTAATGGTTAGGGCCGTCTAGGATATGATAACAAACTGCAGAATTCCCGGAACGTCGACGCTTCACATCAGCTATATGTTCTTTTACGCGGGTTCTGATGGAAAAAAAAGAAAGTAAAAAGTAGTTTTAATCAGCGTGTAGTATTCGCGTAAATATAAGAAATCATTATGTAAACAATAATACGTAAAAATATTAACTTATTTGGCAACCATAAGGCCCTAATTCTGAATAAAGAAAATTCTATTACATATATTGCTTGGAACGGAATTTAGTGTCGACTCGATTGTGCTGATATTTTATTGTACCAATATATAAAGACGTGAAAAGGAACGAATAGATTTGGTACAATAAAATGTAAATGTTGGCAATAATTTTATAGAATAATATGCTGGTTTCGTACTTCCTTATGGCGTTGTTACGTTATGGAGAGAAAATATTATAACAGAATATAGCAAACATTTTGAATTAAGGCCAATAAAAGAATATCTTATCAATGAATGAGGCGGATATAAACTGTAACACATAAAACTGTAGCTCAGGGATTATCCATCTTAAATATTACAGGACACGAGAGAGAGTCAGATCCCCGACGGCAGCATTGTTACTGTTAATTGCAAATTAAAGTTTTTTTTTTAATTATACCACGTGTTCGGCGACAGTGGAGGAAAACATGCAAGTTTATGTCCGTATAAGTAAATAAAATATTTCGAAAAAGTACATTCTGACAACATACTCTGGAGCTCACAGCTGAATGATTGCTCAATATAATATTTATATAGAGTCAATTGAAAAGATTCACAATAATTTTCTGAAGCATATCCAATTTAGATTAGCCGGGATGCCTGCCTCTATTTGGTGTAGACTAACTAGCCTTTGACCTAAAATCTCGCCGTACTGTCAGGGTCAGATGTTTTTATATAAAATCATTCATAATTGGGTCGACTCCAGTTCTAAGTGAAATAAATTTCAGATACCCTAGGATAAGTGCTAGAAAGAAACTTTTATTTTGTACTTCTATTATGCGTACAAAGTATGGTAAAAACAATTTTATAACTCGTGTATGTATTTGCTATAATAACAACTTTTCACATGTTGATATATTTTCTCTGTCGTATGGACAGTTTAAAAAGGAAATTGAAGCTGTAATGGATAATAGTTAAATTAATAGCTAAATTATCATTTCACTTTGATATCACACATTACTTTGACTTTACTTTAGTATTTGCACACCTAAGTATGTCATGGTGTTCGCTTGTTGTCGATGCGTTACTTAACTGTGGAAACTTTATTGTTAAATATAAGATTAATATTATGTATTATGTAATAGACTAAAATTATGTACTTTTCCCTTGAAGATAAAATAAATAAATATTCCTATTAGAAAAAAGAGGAGTCTTGTGCAAAGCTGTGAAACGTATAATAGGGTATAGCTTTACTGTTCTAATTTTATACGTACATTTGTACCTTGCGGCTTTAGGACCCTAAATTTAATGTTCTAAAGTTTAATTAATGTTAAAAAGGTTACATCAAAATGAATGTTACTCCGCTACCGTGCAGCGATGAGCTACCACTATGAGTATGAACTTTCAGTGGTTGCACTGAAAGTTTTACGTATCTTATAAATAAAAAAAATTATATATAAACTAATATATTTACTATTTTTTAAAGTATCCTCCATTACATTTTAAAAACCTTTTATATAAGTTCAAAACATTTTTTTAAAAGATAAAGACTGAGGACATGTTTTTCACATGCTTGTTGACAGCTATCATGGCATATTCCGGCTCTCATCAAATATTTGATTTTTGGGAAAATACAGAAATAACAGAGCCGTGATAGCTCAGATGGTTAACGCCCGCTGTATATAACTATAATTGAACGCGAGTAACCCGGGTTCGATCCCCGCCGGCACCAATGAAATTGTTAATTGCAATTTTAAATGCTGATTTACCACGTGCTCGGCGGTGAAGGAAAACATCGTGAGGAAACCTGCAAGTCTGAGGAATAAGAAAAAAAATATCGAAGCCATGTGATGTTCGCCAACACGCATTGGGGCAGCGCGGCGGACATTTCCTTGCCCTAAAACCCTCTCAGAAATAAGGGGAGGCATGTGCGCAGCAGTGTGACGTTACATACGATTTAACTTTACAGAAATCACACAGTGCAAGCTTCTAACTTGCATCAAATTTGTTGGTTTGTTATAGATACAGATGCTTGTTACTTTCTTTCCGGAATGAAATAATATCGTTTTTGTTCATGCTCGTTTTTGGACTAGGGTGAGTTCATGAGTAATCCAGCGGCAACAAAGTTTTGTAACTTTTAAATAATAATGACGTAAAACGTTTTAATTTTGTTTCATACTAATGCCTAAATTAATGTATTGTCTAAAAGAGGTGATGCGTCGGTTTGCTTCAATTAGTTTACTCAGTGATCGCATTGAGAGTCGGCCTTCACACATTTTGCTATG